CTTATGTTTAAGCAATTTTTATTTCTCCATTTTGACCAGATTATCTATTAAATTGTTCCTCATCATTTATGAATATTTACATATGATTTATTTATAATCTAATTTATTTTAACTCTACAAAAGAATAATTGACTTATAAGCATCTTACTCCCTCCGTCCCACAAACATTACCCATTTTGAATAGTATTTGGTCAAAAAATTAAACACTTTGACTACAAATTGTTAGAAAAGTATATTGAATTGTAATATAAATTTAATATAATTAGATTCATCTTAGGATGTAGTTTTGATATATCAAATTTTTATGACATTTCTTTATTTAGATTATATTTAATTTATGGTCAAAACGTGCAACTGTTTGACCAAAAATCCATCAAAATGGGTAATGTTTTGTGGGACGGAGGTTGTATAAGTTAAAGATTGTTTATCAGCAATAAGCCAATAAGCACAAGCAAAGAGAAACACCACAAGCTGCTTATAAGTCAGAGAAAAGTAAATACTACTCCCTCCGTCCCAAATTATTTGCAACACTTCGAATGACGTGCAAAATATCATCTCTTTTAAAATCATTATATTTTCAAATTGGTAGAGTAATAAAAAGTAAAAATTACACTATTCAAAAGTATATGAAAAATTCTACAAAACAAGATGTGACAAGAATATTTTATTTTATCAAATGGTCAACCAAAATGAGTAAACAAACAAAAATTATCGAAAGGCCAGAATAGTAATTGTGGCATTCTTTCTGGAACGGAGGAAGTATATCTTACCTACTTATAGATAAGTCTATGTAAATTATATACATATTGTGTTAGGCATAATGAAAGCTCCAGAAGTAATTTTCCTAATTTTTACATGGTCGGAGAGTTTCCTTGGATAGTCCGTAAATAATGAAACCTTGATTTTTTGGTATGACATACTCCGTAAATAATAGTACATGGCAAAATATTTATCTAAATGTAATTGGTACTTATCGAATAATTAATCTAAATGTAGAAAAGATTCCAATAGCAGTTCGCCCTACGTGCCCCAAATATTTTAAGAGCAATGCTATGGGTACACCAAAAGGTGTACCCCATTTGTCCCCCACCCATTTATCCACCATTCAATTTTATTTTATTTTTATTTATTTAATTTTGTTTTAGTTTCGTGCTTTTTTGTGTGGTGATGGAGGGGGTGGGGGACAAATGGGGTACACCTTTGGTGTACCCCTATCATTTTTTATATTTTAATTCTATTTGTGAATGAATAAAGATATCATGCCAATTTTCATAAAGAATGAGTCTCATCTCCGAGAGTTATTTCAGATGTGACGGACGATTATAGAAATTAGAATACCAACTTTTGATTGTTGCGGTTGTGGGGGTAGATCCGGACATATGTTTGCTTCACTTCCAATCTATCCCTTAAAATTACTCCCACGCCATCCTTTTTACTCGTCTCCTCCCAAAATTGAGTTTATTTTTCCATTCTACTTTGGGAAATAAAATTTTCAGTTTTTTAGTTTGAACTTTGTCTTTAGTTCTCATCCTTAACCATAAAATTAAAATTACACTATCAAAGTGTGAACTCAGTTCATATTTTTTCTTTGTATTAAATGTGACATTCTTTTGGGGATGGATGGACTAATCAATCATCATATATGTCTCACTATTTTTAAACAATAAATGGAAGTGAGAAATATTAAACAAAGAAAAAAACACGTTACAGACTTGTACATTAAAAAATTAGGAGTAGTACGACTTTTGGAGTTTGTTCTCATTAAAAAAGATTTTTTTTTAAATGAAATTTTAAAAAAGAGTTTGTTGACTTTGTTCTAATTTGGTCTACGTACATGGATATTTAAGAAGTTCACGTTCATTTTGTTTGCTCAATTTTGTCACTTTCTATTAAAATGTCAAAGTAATTAACACAATTACAATCTTAAACTGATAGTTAAAAGTGTGAAAGAAAGATTTTTATATTCTAACACCTACCGTACTCAAATAAAACTTGTTCTCTTTGACTTATTTTGATTATTCATTATTAATTTTTATTGGAATCAAATCATATCACATCAGATTATAAATAACTTTAAATATAACTACATTTAAATTTGATCAGATCATATTATACAAGATTACATAAGACCAAATCATATCAGATCAAAACTCATTCTCATTAGATTTGGTATGAAAAAATCAAAGTAAAATGAAAATATTGGGTTCCATTAATGAAATGTGATGGAAGTGGGAAAGGACTAGAAGTGGACTATGGGATGGAGATTGGGTAGGATTTGGTATCACGTGCTTTGGGTGGTTTCAACGAGCATTTCTCAAAACTCTATTATTTTTCGTCCTTGGCTAATAATAATAATAATAATAATAATAATAATAATAATAATGATAATAATAATGAAATTCAATTCATTTCATTATCAATATTAATAGATACAGAAATTGGGCAAACATGCCATCGTCTCGTACAATGCACGCAATTTAGTTAACGTACTAGAGCTGAACATGAACAAAAAGAGGTAGACAAATGGAAAGAGTGAAAGGGTAAACATGTCAATCTAATAACGACGCTATCTAAGTACAATTAACCATTCCTAGCTCGATGCATGTACCATTTGTCAAGTTTTTTTTTTGTAAAAACAACTTTTAAAAAAAGAGTAAAAAATAAGAGGTGATTTGATCATTTTACATTATAAAATGAGTAGAAAAATAAGAAAACAGAATCAAGAGTATTTTTTCATACCCTACCTATCACATCATACCTTTTTACTAATAACCTACATATAACATCTTACTTTTACACATCACATCAAAAGTATTTTTGGAAAGTCAACACAAAAATATCTCTTCATTAAATCCTCAAAAAGTCAAAAAAGGAAGTTTATTTAGGGACGAAAAGAGTATAATATAAGACCATCTTTAATTGCTTAGATCACTAGTCATCAATTCGAGTAATAATTCACTATCAAAATTTTGACACTGAATTATCCCTAATTGGGAAAGTGGGCTATGAGGCCAGCAGGCCAGTTAGTGAGCAGGTGGGGCTCGTTCATCATATCTTAATATTTGTACATGGTTACAAATATGAAAAATATGTTACCCCCTTGTAGTGCTTCACGTCAAATTATATTTATGAACTTTGTTGGTATTTTTAGTTTACAAATGAATAGGTTTTTATTTAATTGTTAGTTGTTTTGATCAAGTAGAGGTTTAACATCCAATCCGACATCCTAGTAAGTAATGTTTGTGTCGTTCTACCCTAAAGACACACACAAATATATAATTCTCGATCTTTTGAGAACAATTCTTGCGCCAATTGAAGTTTTTTAAATTAAAGCAATATGAGTACGTAGGCCATTTACATGAGTAAATGTTTTTATTAAGAACAAAAGTCCTAACCAAGTTCTACAAAACTTGGTGATAAACTTATTAAAGGTTGCCCATGAAGACCATGACTCCCATTCTTACATGGACTTGTCACTATTTCACAAGACATGTTCCATTGTAAATCTGTAATTGATCAGTGTAATTTTTTTACAAAAGTTTAGCAACAGGTCGTTATATGAACGTGATCACCCGCGAAGTATGACATCTTTGTATATTTACCGAAAACATTGAGTCACATTTTCTTTATAATAAGTCTAACGGTGGAGCGTGGAACTTCTTTTTGAAAAAAGTTTGGAATATTATTACCAAGTTTGTACTCCAATTTGCACACCAAATACATTTTATAAATTTCATCCATAATTATTGTTTATGTGTCTCTAATATAACAAGTTGAAGTACAAATTAAACTTACTCTCTCCGTCCGAAATTATTTGCAACTTTTTCTTTTTCAGCAGTCGCGAGAACTTTTAGTTATTTGTATGTTTTCATTAGTTATTTATAAAATAAAATATTCTTGACACCTCTTATTTCGAAAAACTTTTCATGTAATTTTTTGATATGTAAATTTTATTTTTTATTATCTTACCAATATGTAAATAAAACAAATATTTTGCCCCGGAAATACAAATGTGACAAATATTTAAGAACGAAGGACTAATATTTTTACCCTATGTCTTTCCTTCAGTCATAGCACCGAATGGCAAGCGCTTTATTTCCTCTTTTTTTGTTCTGACACAAAGACTGGTCAGGCTGGCTTTGCAGTGTAGACCAAGGAATTGAACCCACCCATCCTTCCCAGCCCTACGCTTTTCGCCTCCACTTGTTATTGTTGCCTTTACTTGTACGGACTATGTATAACCAACCATAATATGCTATACATTCATATTTCCATACTTCATATTGATAAAAAAAAATTTCGATTATTTTGTGTCTAGCACACATAATGGAAGTATATACCTGTCTTGTACAAATTGAAGTACAACTTTTAGGGTACCAGTAACTTAATTCATCCCAATTTTTATACCACAATATTTATTCTCATAAACATTAGATCTGTTAATTTTGACATTGTGCGATAGTAAAATTTTGAATCACCAAACACGGGATAATTCGAGTAAGTCACATAATTGATTTCATTCTTTAAGGACATATATCAAAAATCTAAATTTTTTTTACTTTGTTTTAAAAAATTGTGTGTAAAGTCAAAATGAAAAGATAAAAGTTAGATGAAAGGAGTAGAAAAGCATACACACAGATATAACAATTGTCTATAGATATACAAATAAATATTGTGTGTATATGTTTGTAACACATTAATATACAAGTGGTGTATATTAATATGGTGCACAGCTAGTATACCTCTAATTAAATTCTTTGAGATGAAGGGAGTAAAATAATTTGATTTTTTAATGATTGTGTTGTGTTAAATGGTTTGGTTGAATTATGAAGTGTTATTTGGTGAGAGGGGTAGAAAAAGCAAAAGTAAAAAGAAAAAGAGATAGATTCACTGACTCTCTTCTACTCCTATATCACAACTCCTACCATTTGGTGGCTTTGTTTGCATCTCTCTCTCTCTCTCCATGTGCAGTTGCTGCATCACTTTCTGCTTCCCTGGGGAGCATCTTCTTCTTCTTCTTCTTCTGTGACCCATAAATTTCTTCGTTTAACTGTTTTTCTCACCACCAAGAACACATTTTTCCCCATATTCCTTAATTTTTATACATATTTCTGACTGGGTTTTCCCTCTTCCACACTCTTCGTACAATGGATGGTTCAAATTCCGGGGAGGATTGCTGTGTCAAAGTGGCGGTTCATATTAGACCGCTCATTGGAGATGAGAAACTTCAGGGCTGTAAAGATTGTGTCACTGTAGTCAATGGGAAGCCTCAGGTCATCTCTTTCTCTCTGCCTGCACATAATGTGTTTCTGAATCTTTGGGAATTTGGTTTCTGGGTATTCTTTGGGACGCGTTTTTCTAGTCATCTTTCGTTTTTTGGGGTCACCATTCTTGGTTTTAGACTTTCGTTGAGATCTGGATCCTTTATGCTGCTAAAATTCTCAAAGATTGGAGCTTTTTGTTTTTTTTTTCTTGAAAAAAAACAAAGAAAAGTTGGAATGAGGTATGCAACTTCTGCATGTCCTAGCTAGGGGGTTCGGTTTATATGATCTGAATTTCCACTTAATTCGTTGACTTTGTAGGAGCACATTTAATGAAAGGAGAGGATTTGCCCATAAAAATGGGAATTTGGGTTTTAGTCAATGGAGTGATCATCTAAATGTGTGTTTAATTTCTTTACAATTGTGTCTGATCTTGGTTTTAATGGGAATGGAGAAAATTGGGTTTGAACTTTGAAGAATGTCTGTTTTTTTTTCAAGAAAAAGCAGCGGACTACTTGCCGTATTTGATGCCCATTAATTGCCTGTGAAATTCAGATCTGCAGCAGGCTATCTCTGATAGATAGCAAGTTCAGATGAAATTTACATTGAAAAAGATACCTAATAATCTTGAGTTAATCTCATGCATGCTGTCTAACTGCACTTTTGATTTATGATGCCCTACTTTACCAGTTACAATAGGTTCCAGATTATCTCAGTATGAACACAACATCTTTTCCAGCTTGTTTTTTGTGCCAAGTCCCTTTATTGTCATTAAAAAAGCTTCAGTTCTTGCATTACACTTTTTTTTCTTTCTATTTTTGTTTAGTGAGTGAAAATTTAAACCTTTAATGGACCAAACTAATCTGTGCAAGGCACATATTTTATGGTCTGAATTTAATGTTTTAAGCTTGACTTAATGTGATGATATTCTTGAAAATCATTCAATTCTCTGATTGTGGCTTTGGTTCAGGTCGCAATTGGATCACATTCCTTTACATTCGATCATGTTTATGGGAGCATGGGGTCCATCCCTTCGTCGATGTACGAAGAATGCATTGCCCCTCTTGTGGATGGTTTGTTCCAAGGATATAATGCGACTGTTCTCGCCTATGGTCAGGTAAATCTTTGCATTAGTTGATGAAAAGGTTCTTTCTATTTGTTGCAAGTTCTTTAGGAGATCATTGACATATTTAAGCATCATAATAACACAGACGGGCTCGGGAAAAACATACACTATGGGTACTGCTTTCAAAGATGGATGCCAAACAGGACTCATTCCCCAAGCAATGAACGCTTTATTCAGCAAAATCGAAACAATGAAGCACCAAACAGAGTTCCAACTTCATGTATCCTATATTGAGGTTTACTTTACCCTTTTCCCTCTCCTTACTAATTTAGACTTTTAGATTACATTCTAGAAGATAAACTTATATGTTGTGTGTAGATACATAAAGAAGAAGTTAGAGATCTGCTAGACCCTGCTTCTTTCAATAAACATGAGGCAGTGAATGGGCATGTTGGCAAGGTGACCATCCCAGGGAAGCCACCAATACAGATTCGGGAAACGTCAAATGGTGTTATAACTTTAGCAGGGTCCACGGAATGCAGTGTCAGAACTTTGAAAGAAATGGCTGATTGCCTCGAGCAAGGATCACTGTGCAGGGCAACCGGCAGTACAAACATGAACAATCAATCTAGGTAAATCGTTTATTCATCTTCTTTTGTTTCTTCTTTTGTGTTTTTTGTCTTAGGTTGAAAGCCCCCCTATTGTTTGTTATTGGGCTATTTCTTATTTCGTTTGTTCTATTTTTTCAGCCGGTCTCATGCCATTTTTACCATTACAATGGAGCAAATGCAAAAGATGAGTTCCAATGATGCAAACGATAATGATTGCATGTCTGAAGAATATCTTTGTGCCAAGTTGCATTTGGTGGACCTTGCTGGATCAGAACGTGCCAAACGAACCGGATCAGATGGCCTCCGTTTTAAAGAAGGTTTTTTTTCCTCCCAAAATTTCCAATATCTTTGGGTTTGATTTGGTTGTTGCTATGCTGATGAGTGGGATATATATCCTCCATTTTTACAGGAGTTCACATTAACAAAGGACTTCTTGCACTTGGAAATGTTATCAGTGCACTTGGGGATGATAAAAAGAGGAAAGATGGCGTTCACGTTCCATATAGGGATAGTAAGCTCACCAGGTTATTGCAAGATTCACTTGGTGGTAACAGTAAAACTGTCATGATAGGTATTTTCAGTAAATATCACATTTCTTTTTATTTATTTCATATTTTTTTTAAATATCATTTCGCTTGGAGGATCAAATAGGTTATTACTTGTATATGCAGCATGCATTAGCCCAGCTGACATAAATGCAGAAGAAACTCTAAACACTTTGAAGTATGCAAACCGGGCTCGAAATATTCGAAACAAACCTGTTGTAAGCTTCCAAGCAAATTATTCCTTTCTAGTTTATCTTTTTATTCATTTGACATATGCAGCTACAAAATGGTAGAGTAATAGAATTCTGTACCCCATTATGTGATTCTTTCTTGAGTTCTATAAGTAATTTTTTATCTCCACTATTGTGTAGGTTAACCGAGATCCGGTGTCCAATGAGATGGTGAAAATGCGACAACAACTAGAGTATTTGCAGGCAGAACTTTGTGCCCGAGGTGGAGCTACTGCTTCCTTTGGTGAAATACAGGTACGTTGTTTGTTTGTACCATGATGTATGGTAATAAATATGTCACGGTCCATGTTTGGAAGTTCTTATTATTTAAAAACCCTTATGCAGGCACTCAAAGATAGGATTGCTTGGCTTGAAACAACTAATGAAAATCTAAATAGAGAATTACACGAGTTCCGTAGCAAATGTGCTGCCACTCAACCCTGTGGAATGGATAGCGATGTATGTGTCACATTTTTCTGTACCATTATTTATTGTCAGTGTCGTTACATTCTAAATCTATGATCTTTTTCTAGGCTAGGGGTACCTTTCCGGCCAAGAGTGAAGGGCTTAAGAGGGGTTTGCAAAGTTTAGAGTCTTCAGATTATCCAATGAGTGAGAATGGTATGATCACTAAGATGTTTTTCATCTTCTTTTCCGAATTTTGGCTTAAGAATACAATTTGAAGTGAAATAATGTCTGCTTTATTTTCGACTAGTTTTCAATTAATATGTTCTTAGAAAAATCATAACAGGCGATCTTGGGGACTTGGATGAGGAAGCAGCAAAAGAGTGGGAACACTCTCTTCTGCAAGATTCTATGGGCAAAGAATTAAACGAGTTGAATAAACGATTGGAGCAAAAAGAGGTTTCTTCAATTTTCTTCATGCATTTTTGTTCCTTTGTCAATGATAACTCATGTAGGGGTAACCTGCATCTATCTACAGCACGTGCTGATTTAGTTTTTATGTATATTTTTGTAAAAACTTTGAAGTCCGAGATGAAACTTTATGGAGGAGTTGACACAACCGCCCTTAAACAACATTTTGGAAAGAAGATTCTAGAACTTGAAGAGGAGAAAAGGGCCGTGCAGAGAGATAGAGACCGCTTGTTAGCTGAAGTTGAAAACCTTGCTGCTAATTCTGATGGTCAAGCACATAAGTTGCAAGATATCCATGCCCAGAAGCTTAAAGCACTTGAAGTGCAGGTAGGTTACCATTTTCTCCTCTAGATTTCAACTGGGTAGTGATCACTCATAACTTTTTTATTGGTAGTAATGTTTTTTCCATGGCTGAGTTCTTATGTTTACTGCTCCAGATACAAGACCTTAAGAAGAAACAAGAAAACCAGGTTCAGCTTTTGAAGCAGAAACAAAAGAGTGATGAAGCTGCAAAAAGATTGGTGGATGAGATACAATCCATCAAAGCACAGAAGGTGGGGGGTTGCCACTCTTGTTAAATATCTTTTCCAAATTGAGATTTCTTGAGTGACGGTTATAACACTTGTTATATATGTTGTATTAGGTCCAATTGCAACACAAAATTAAACAAGAAGCTGAACAATTTAGACAATGGAAGGCATCTCGGGAGAAGGAGTTATTGCAGGTCTTCATTCTTATTACTCCATATTATTCCTAATGACCTCTATAACTATTTTACTGGGGTTCTTTTGACACCCAACCCGTGTGTTATATTACGACACTGGTCCATTCAAGGGTTTTTCGGTGTTCTGTTCGGCCTCCAAGTGTTATATTACCCCTCTTACCCCTCCAATGATTTGTTTTACATACAATGCAGCTAAAGAAAGAGGGAAGAAGGAATGAATATGAGAGGCATAAATTGCTTGCCATGAATCAACGCCAGAAGATGGTGATTATTTTCTTCCCCTTCGTATATATGCTTTTGTAACTTGTAAGTTCAGTTAATATGTGAGAAACTCTGAAGCTTAAAACAATATTCACTTCAGGTTCTTCAAAGAAAGACAGAAGAGGCTGCAATAGCTACCAAGAGGCTGAAAGAATTGCTTGAAGCAAGAAAATCTTCAGCTCGCGAAAACTCAGGTTTGCCTTTGAAACCCACCAGAGTTACTGTTGTTACCTAACGTCCTTTATGAACAAAAAAAACATTCATGAGGAAGTGCTCATGTTGTTACATTTTGTTTTTGTGATAATCCAGTGAATAGCAATGGGCATGTAGCAAATGGACAGGTAAAAACATATCCTTTTCGCTCACTTATATAACTATGAAGGGCCCTATGTTTAAGATTTAACATTACTCAAATTTGCATTCAGAGCAATGAGAAGTCTCAACAACGGTGGCTTGAGAATGAGCTTGAACTAATGGTCAATGTTCACGAAGTTCGTTACGAGTATGAGAAACAAAGTCAAGTGTATGCAAACTAAACTCACCTATGCATAAAATCAAGATTCTTTCTGTGTTGGTTACATAATTGTATTCGCTTTTGGATCATTTCAGTAGAGCTGCATTGGCAGAAGAGCTAGCTGTTTTAAGACAAGTTGATGAGTTTTCTTCGAAAGGGATCGTCCCTCCTAGAGGAAGAAATGGTCTTTCTAGGTGTGCAAATACTACCCTTTCATCTCTATGATATAGTTCTTGTCTTCTTGATTTGATACACAAAACTAATTTGTACCATATGCTCAGAGCTTATTCCTTGCCTCCAAGCGCCAGAACGGCAAGGATTGGTTCTCTAGAGAACATGTTGAGCATCTCATCAAACTCTCTAGTTGCCATGGCCTCCCAACTTTCTGAAGCCGAAGAACGAGAGCGTGGATTTAGCAACCGCGGCCGTTGGAACCAGCTGCGTTCAATGGCCGATGCTAAAGCCCTGCTTCAATACATGTTCAGTTCTCTAGCAGATGCGAGGTATGTTAAATTAAAGCATCCCACAGCAGGCAATTATGCATATTTCACCCCCCGTATACCAGCATGAACCCCTCACTTTCTTATAGGTGCCAATTGTGGGAGAAGGAGGTTGAAACTAAGGATATGAAAGAGCAGATGAAAGAACTCATTGGGGTGTTACAAGAAAGCGAGATTCGAAGAGTGGAAATCGAGAAGCAGCTGAAGCTGAGAGATCAAGCGGTTGCAGTTGCACTGGCAACTTCTGCTTCTGTAAATGAACCAACTCAACCAAAAGTTCAATTTTTTTGTAGCTGAAAGCTCCAAGAATGTTTTTTCTTTTGTTGTATTCTAACAAACACGAATGATTGCTGGTGCAGGGGAACTCAAACAAACACTTAGCTGATGAAATGAGCTGTCCCCTGTCTCCAATACCCGTGCCAGCTCAGAAACAGCTCAAATACACACCCGGGATTGCAAACACTTCTACTAGAGAATCTGCAGCCTTTGTAGATAAGTCCTTAAAGGTGTGATATTTGTGTCATATGACCCAGTTGAGTGTGACTTCTACTGGGTGCTAAATTCTTTATGTTGACTGACACACTTGTTGTAGATGGTGCCCGTGGGGCAGTTGTCAATGAAGAAATTGGCAATGGTGGGGCAAGGTGGGAAGCTATGGAGGTGGAAGAGAAGTCATCACCAATGGCTTTTGCAGTTCAAATGGAAATGGCAGAAGCCATGGAGACTTTCGGAGTTGATCAGACACAGCGATGAGACGATCATGAGGTCAAGGCCTTATGCTCACTCTCTTCCGAATAACATCTCTTCTAGAAATGGCCATTAGCAGCAGCAGCAGCTTAGTGAGGAGGAATGTAACAAATGTTCCTCTTTGACCTATACGGTAACAAATGTTCCTCTCTAGTCCTCTTTGCTTGTTTTTAGGTAATCTTACGAGCGTTGTGCTACAGTCACTAATGACACCAAGGTTGACACCGCCGTTGTCTCATGGACAATGTGACTATCTGGTGTGTCAACATTGTTGTCATTCTTGGGGTTGAAGTAACATTTTCCATCTTACGAAGGCGACATATAATTAGAGCATGAGCCACCCTCAACCTCAGCCTAGGCAATGGCTTGTGGATAGACGTTTTTTTGCGGGGGGTGGAAGGTCTGCGTACATCACATCCTTACGGCGGGATCCTGGCTTTCTGCGCCAAGCTGGCATTTTCAGATGATGATAAAAATGTATTGTGATTTGTGAATATGTTATTCTAATAGTTGTGTATAGTTGTTTAGCAGGGTAATAATCAGAGTATCTTTGAGGGTATTCTTAGCTCTTTTTTTTATGTTGTTGAGAAGGGTATTTTGTAAGGTCACAACAGATGTGCCAAGGTTTTTTTTAATTCTTTTCATTTGTTGATTTTGTAATTTGTTGTAGTGTTGTGTATAGTGTGGAAGAACAAAAACAGTTATATTATTTAGTTAAAAAAAGAGTAGATTTCATTACTGGTTTTTGATACTTATCTAATAAAATAACATAGTAATTTCACCACTAATTTTTTTAAAATTACATGAAGTATTACATATATAGTCTCAACTTTTAAGATATTGCAATTTGTAGTCTTTTAAAATTGTATCCTTACTATTCAAATAGTCAAATTTTAATTAATTTTATTACTGGTTTTTGATACTTATATAATAAAATAATGTAGTCATGTCACCACTAATTTTATAAAATTTTAAATGTATATCGTTTTTAAATATATAAGTTTCATTTTTAAGTTTTACACTAATTTTGATAAAAAAAATGAATTGAAAATAATTTCAGTTAAATATCGTAAGTTGAAACAGATAATTTAAATTGAGAGAGAGAATGGAACTTTGGTGTGGTTTTTGAATATGTTATTTATATTTTATAATTTCAATCCATTTTTTAAATAAATTGAATTAAATATATCTTTAGTCAAATATCATAAACTGAATGAGGTAATTTAATTTGGGACGGAAAAAGTAATTTATACTCCCTCCGTTCTTTTAAACCCTTCCCATTTTGACTTTGAACCAAAATAAAGAAAGTGTAATTTTGATTGACTTTCTATTTTTTTCCTTGATGTGATGGGTAAAAAAGTAAGATGTGATAGTTTAGTTATTAGTGAAAAAATATGATGTGATAGGTAAGGTATAAAAAAGTAGGACTAAAAGTGATTTTTTAATAAAAAATGGAAGTATTTTAGAGAATTGGAAAAAAATGAAAGAAGAAAGGTTTTATGAAACGGAGCCACGGAGGGAGTATAATTTTATTTCTATACCCTCTTTGGATAAAAAATAAAAAAAATTAGTTGCGCATGATATTAAACATTTAGAGACAAAAGGAATACACCGTTTTAAAAAAGACCAATTCGACATGAGTCATATGACTATATGAATACATACTGGCCTCTCAATAACTTCATAGAAGAGCTACTCTGGAAAATAAAAGTCCACATTAAACTCGTTTTAATTTGTACAACAACCAATGAAGTATGAACCACTCCATATTAATTACTTCGTATAATAATAATAAAAACAGTACGTCCAAATTAATTATTGCCAAGCAGGTGTAGTTGTGTTACATTTAAATCGTTGACTTTAGCATCCACTTGCCCAAATTATACTCAATGTCAATGTGCCAAAAGAGATTACGGATAAAATATCCAATAATATATCTCGTCACATTATTAACGGTCACAAAAAAAAACATAATTAAGTTAGATGCGAATTTTAAAAGCTAAAATTAAGTTCCGTAATTTTTTTAGAGTAACGCTCATGATTTATCTTCTCTTTTTTTTTGCTTCATTTTCTTTTCATTAAACAACATATTTTCTCCCTTCTTTTTTTTCTCTGATCTTTCAATTTTTTTAATGTCCCAATTTTCTTCTTATTTTCTGTTTTTGTCCGTCAAAAGACTCGTTTTCAATGAGGACAAATTATAAGCCCTTTCCCATGTGAAAGAAAGAATCGAGACAACAGCAGAAATTTGTTAGAAAATTGTTTTCGTCATTTCTCCTAGTCAACTAGATCCATTATATTCCGCTTTAAATTAATACTCCCTCCGTCCCTAAATAAAGTTCCATTTTTGACTTTTTGAAGATTTAAGGGAGAGATATTTTGGTGTTGACTTTTCAAAAATACCTTTGATGTGATGTGTTAAAGTAAGATGTGATAGGTAGATTATTAGTAAAAAGATATGATGTGATATGTAGGGTATAAAAAAGTAAGGGGTAAAAGAGGTTTTTTAAAGGAAAAGAAAAGTTTATTTAGGGACAAAGAAAAAACGAAAGAGGAACTTTATTTAGGGACGGAGGGAGTATTATCTTCTTTCAATTGCATTTTGATGTATTTACTCATTTACTCCCTCCGTTCCACAAAACCCTTTCGGTTTTGACTTTGGGGAAAAATAAGAAAAATATAATTTTGGTTGACTTTCTAATTTTGTCCCTGATGTGATGAGAAAAAGTAAGATGTGATAGTTTGATTATTAGTGAAAAAGTATGATGTGATAGGTAGGGTATGATAAAGTAGGGGTAAAAGTGGTTTTTTAATAGAAAGTGGAAGTGTTTTGTGGAAATCAAAAAAATGAAAGAGGTAGGATTTTGTGGAACGGAGGAAGTAATATTTTCGAGTCATACTAGATAAATTTTTATTTTCAATTAATGTTATTTTTTTCAAAATAACATCAAAACAATAGACAAAAAGCAGAAGGAAAAAAGAGAGAACCGAATGAATATGAACCCATAAGGCTAGCCATAGTTCTACACTTCTACACAGAAGAGATAAGTCAACGTTAAACTCTTGGGGCGTGGCAACAGATTTGTAAAACGATTTCGTTTAGAATAATAAGCTTGAAATCCATAAAAATATATAAATAATTATTTAATACCATTAAAATTTGACGTTTTTTTAAAATCCAAATTAAATATCTTCATATTTTAAACAAATCTTTAAAACCTCAATTGAATACTTATTGATTATAAGTGATTTTTTAATACCCAATTACTTCTAAAAACAAAAAAGTCATACTAAATCTAGACCGAACAATTGAGCGGCTGTAGGATTCTTTTAGACTTCTGAATTCTTAGAGTATTCAATTTGGATTTTAAAGAATCTTGAAATATTTAATAGGGATTTTCAAAATTATTTAAAAATCTTGAAGTATTCAATAAAAATTTTCAAAAGTTTTTTAAAATTTTGAGGTATTCAGTAGTCTAGTGTTTTAATACTTAGTAGATTTTGTTAGATTTTCTCCCAAAAATATGCTTACACAAATCTCTTCTAACAACAAGATATTTCCATTGACATCACTTGTTCTTTGTTTCTCGCTTCTCCGCGCGCTCTTCGATCTCCATGCATAAGTCAAACCTCTCTCTTAATTAGTCATCGATCTCCTTCATCTTAATTAGTCATCAATAATTCATGGAGATTTATTTAAATAGCATTAAAACATAATGACTTTCCCTAAATCGCATCACATATGTTTTTCTTTCCAATGTAACACTTTTAGTTATTCTGAATTAGTCATTATTCAACTAAATATTCGTTATCACTAGACATTATGGACATTATTAAGTGCTATTTAGGGAATAACATAGTTTAAGTGCTATTTAGTGCAAATATTTCATAATTCATTCATATTCCTCGAGGTGCGTATGAAATTATTTTTGTAAAGCCATGTTGATAAATTATTTTAAAACCTATCTAGCTCTGTGTCGTCTTAAAATAATCTATTGGTTTTACAGAATCTATAAATTTTAAATAGAAGTAAAACATTGAAAATATATCAAAATAAGAATTTCATGTTTTATTTCTAAAATAAGAATTAAAATGCATTACATTACCAATCATTGCTATATACATTACCAAAAAATATAGTAGAATATTCATATATAGTATCACATTACCACATTACAAAAGTATATCTAGGAATTAAAATATGAAATTTCTATTTTAGTACTTTCTCCATATTTTAATCTTATTTAGAATAACTTCATATAATCTATTAAAATTTTTAAAATGAGTTTGAATACAACTCTTTAGTTGTTGATCAAAATTTGTCCTATTTAATTTTAAAAAGTTAAAGAGAACAATTTCTTTTTCTTATTTCTTCTTTAATGAGATTCCAACTCCTACGGACCGGGCAATCACTCAATTGCATGATTGCATCTAATTTTTTTTCTTTCTTTAGACCGTCTATAAAATTTTTCCCATGTCTTAAATGTGCAAAAATCTTAAATGAATGTACTATTATATTCTTACTTTTTATCTACACTGTTTATTTTATTCTACCACGTCAACGATAAAAATACCAAGTCTTACAATTTTTTTTAATCTTCGTGTTAAGTTACCACTGAAAATAAATTATTAGACAAAGAGTAAAAAGTAAAAATAGAGGGGAACAAATGATGGACAAAAATTACAAATGTGTAGGGCCCCCCATCCCTTCGCCTGTCCCTTTCCCGATTTTCTATGGGAATCTAATGCACCTAAGAGTTGACCAAGTGTTAGCACTCCTCGTCGTCTTATCCGGCAGATCGAACGGCGACGATTAGATGGAGCCCCGCGGGTGAAGATCGGACGGCCGAGATGAGTTAAGGGCATGGGGCAGTGATCGAATGGTTGTGATCCCCTTCGTAGGTCACAATCAACTGTGTAGGATCATCCTTTGCCCTCTCCACATGCTTCCTTGCTGGGCATCCCCTTATGCTACTGCACTTGTAATATCCCCTGTTTTTTTTCAAAAAAAAATATTATTAAAAATTTATTTACCATAATTTTTAATTTGTACTCTCTAGAGTTTCAAAACTTTTCCGCGTAGTTTTATAAAAAAAATTTAAAGTAAAAAAATCAAATATTTTCAATTAGCGTTAGCGTTTTAGATAAAATACAAACGGTGTAGATTAATTCAGAAAACGTTAACGCTAAAAGCTACCATCAGATAGTAGTTTTCAATACGCTAACACTGTGCCAGATGAGACCGACATTTGTTACAAATTTTGTGAGTTGAGATAAAATTTGCCACATAAAATTTTAAAAAATGCTAAGGGTACACCATTGGGCATTTGTCCCCGCCCCTCCATTACCACAAAAATGGGCAAAAATTTTAAAAAAAATTAAATAAATAAAAAGTAGATAAAAATGAATGGTGGAGAAGGGGTGGGGACAAATCGGGGTACAGGTGTACCCCTAGCATGGCTCTAAAATTTTACCTGGGAAATGGAGAGCCTTTGATTGGCTTTTGACCATATTTCCTCCACGAGTAGTTGTCCGGCGGAACGTCGGCAATCTTCGAACTAATCGCCGGAACCCTAACCACTCTCTTCACCCTTGATTTCCTGCTCGGAAATCAAAATCAATCAGTTAAATTGTCATAATGGAGTATGAATTTGGCCGTTGACTTTTGTTAATTACCTTTTCTTTGAGCAATGGCAATGACCCAAACCCGACCCGGCAGCACTGCTGCATTTGTCGCCGGTGAAACTGCACTTGCGCTTAAACGACGACGTTGAAAGCGGCGGCTTTCCCGTTGATGAAACTTGAGAGGGATTTGTAATCGTGCCTCCATCTCTATCCCCTGTGAGAGACGAGATTAAGGAACCGGACGGCGCCGGAATGTCCGCGAATTTGACTTCGGGGGCATTCTTCGCCGGTATATCGCGGCGGTGGTTGTGTGGAACCGGCGGCGGAGGTTGAACCGGCCACGAGGGATAGATTTTCGAGCTGACCGCCTGACCCGTTCCGGATTCTTGAACGACCCTGATTCGGCCCGCTTCGCGTGGAGCTGCATCTCTCTCCTTCTGAGAATACGGGGCCGCAACCGGCCCTCTCCGGAAACGGGCATGCCCGGTTCGGGACCGGTCCAACAATGAAATAAACTTCTTGAACCCCGACACGGCGGCTTCCGCATCCGCCTGGTAATCTCCAGCGAACGTGGGGAAACTACTGGTTCCTGGCGGAGTTTGAGAGAGCAATCTGAGAAGCTTCTCGACGCTCTGAAGTCCGGCGGCGGCCGCCTCTTGCACGGCGCATTCCACCGCGACGGGGGCGAAACCGTCGCCTCTGCGAGTCGCAGTCATCAACTCCATAGCCATCTTCTTGCCCAGAAACCCAAAAAAGCAGAGGAGAAGAGAAAGAAGAGAGAGAGAATTGAGTAGTCCAATGGGCTTTCTTTGACGGAGTGTTAATTTCTCTTTATTCTCCTTTTTATTTTTAAAGTTTTTTGCGCAGCCGTGTCTTCTGACTTTATTAACGTCAAACTGTAGAACCAATATAAACCCTCCACGTACCGCCTCCACTCATCAGATGGAAAATAAAAGTAAACGACAATTGACCCAAAAAATGGATGACCTTCATGTCCAAAATTCTAATGGCTCTCTCGCCAAGAGATTAATTGAGCTATAATTAATATTTAAAAAAAATTAAGCTTGCACTTGATATTTATAGGGATTTTTGTTAAATATAAGTGTCTCTCAGTATAGTTGCAAGAAAACAAAATTGAGTTTATCTTATTTGGTATTCTTTACCTAACCAACTTTAAGTAGAGATGAAATGAAATAACTTTATCACTATATACAACACAATCTGATGAGGACATATTCCTAACCAAACATGTTCTTCCTCTATCAAGTCAACCTTGGCTATGAGCCATAAGGTTCCCATCGCGTTTAACATGATCCAACAAAAAAATCACGAATTAGAACACATTGGACAGACATTGCTTCGAGCGATGTGCCTGTGATGAAGAAGAGCGCAAGCTGAAAGAATTTCCCATAAAGCTTTCACCTTCGGGATACAATCAGCATTCTAAATTTTGCCAAAAAATTTAAGACTTCATTTGGTACACGGAATTCAAACTATAGAATTGAAGACAATAATTATAATTCTGTTATTTGGTTGAACAAAAATATGCAGATTTGTAATTCGTAATCCTAGTACCAAAAATCAATAAGAATTAAAAAATTTAATTTCATCCAAATCAATTGCATATAATTTCAAATTTCAATCTATTAATTTTGTGTACTAAAGGGATCCTAAAATTCATCAAGACTGAAGCTTGCCCAAGTCGATGTGCACACCTCACCCCTATAGGCCCTTGTCATCTAACATCCACTATGACTTTTATATAGAGTAATAAACCACTCGATAAAAGAGATAAAAAAAATGAAAAAATAATTTGATAAAACTAACGAATGGGCTAGCTTACTTAAATACCTATACCACGAGTATTAGATTTTGTAAAATTGGGCACCTTATTTTTAAAGATCTTTTTCAATGGGTAGCCCAAAGTTTTAACAGCACGTAGGCCCAAGAATACATTAATCTTACTTCTATGGACTATGGAGTATGTAGTACTCGGTATGATTTTGATTCACATAATGATTTCGAAGGACTTCCTTTGATATTCAAAAGCATAAGTGGGAGCTTACGTGTTGAGGTCAAGAATTTTTTTCTAAGGGGTTAGAAATGATAAACGAAGTAGATGGTATCTCAGATTGTCTAATTATTCATTTATTAATATTAGATTGTCTATGCAACTAAAGACACGAAGATGAGAGAGTAGTCAGGTGGATGAGTATACAAAGGTTCATACAGAGATTTATTATGGAGAGAACTTTTGGGCATGCGATGAATAACGTAATTAGCAGTGGCAAGAGCTTCAAGCCAAAAGGTAGCAGGAAGGGACGAAGTTTAGAGCAGGATTACAAGTGTATCTATTTACGCTCAGCAACCCATTCTGTTTAGGGATATAGGTAGAGGTGTTCATCGGTCTAAAATCGAACCGGACTGAACCAAATCGGACCGAAAACTGAACTATGCTAAAATCTAGAAAGAAGGCCAAACCTAAATGTAGTCGCTTTTGGACCGACCCGAAATCCTCTGGACCGAACCGGTCCAGACCGAAAAGACCAAATCCAGGTGTGGCCGGAATTGAAACTTTCCCCACCGGTGAACCGGTCCTCAAATATGCTCACCAAAACGGCCATCTTTCTCTCTTTCGTCCTCCCCCTAACTCTATCTCTCTCCTTTCTCTCACGTTTTGGAAGCATCTCCACCCAAACCCCATCGCTCTTTTTCTTTCTCCTTCTATGGCTATCACGCCGACATGCGATAGTAATATACCCGAACCAATTATAAACATCGCCTTAACAGACTTTTGATTTCCTACAAATTTAGACTTCCATGTAAATATCATATGTTTCTCATATTATTTACTTTGTATATTTTCCATACTTTGTATTATCGTTGAATGTTACTCTCTCTGTCTCAAAATTAACTCTGTAGTTTGACTTTCGTTATCAAAGTTTTATTATGGAAAAAAGTTTATGCTTATAATGTATATTTGCATATAAAAAGAAATATTGATAGTGAAAGTATTTGATTAGAAATTATAAGAATGAAATGAAAAGTTAATTTGTAGACGGAATATGAATTTGATATGTATCTTACATACTTATATATGGGTTGCATGAAAGTTGTAGAGATATGAATCCAAGAAAGAGGGAAGATCAAAGTTGCTTGGGCCACTTGCGCATCTCCAAGTTCCAATGCTCAGTCAGAAGGCTGAGCCATACACGCACCCACCCCATTCCATCATGTCTGTCCCACTCCGGTCCAATTCTGAACTAGTACTAATATTTAGGCTAAATAGTATTAAAATAATAGTCATTTTTTAACATAATACTTAAATTTTTTTTATTCCATAATTTGTACTTGAATAATATTTAGTGGCAGGAACAATGTCCGGTAATGATGGATATTTAATTTAAACAATGTCCAGTGGCGGTGGATATTTACTTGAACAATTGTACAATGACTAGTTTTACTAGATTTAAAAATAAAAACATATGATATTATTTTAAGAAAGTTATTATATTTTAATAGTCGATACTATTTTTAGGTAAGTTTTCAGATGTACATATGGTATCACAACCACATAATCAATCAATCAAAGTAGGGAGCAGTTTAATAGCCAATCAAAATTATTGGAGCATGGCTTTCTATACTTTGTCCTGCAGAACCCAATTCTCGTGGAGCCCATAATAACCCGTAGTCCATATCTCCTCCCATCTCAAATCTCAATTCAATTCAAGCTATCCCAATTTTGTTGGGATGTTTTTCCCAGTTATCTAATGTTATCCTCTAACGATTTTGATCGTTAACTCGTAAATATAGATTCTGATCATAAGTTAAACGGATAATTTGACGTATTATACATAAGAAATGGTGAATGCACGAATGTGAATTCGATATGGAAAATTAATTTGTGAATAAAAAGAGTATGGTTAGAGACATTGAAATGTGCCATAGTTTTCGAAGCATTCCCCTATTATTATTATTTCGTATTACTTATCATTTTTACTATTTATTTCTTATCATTATTTATCATCGTCATTATTATTATTATTATCATTACTATTATGACTTTTCATATGTAACATGTTTAGACTACTCGCAATTCTTGAAGCGGACCTTCCCACATGCAGGTTTAGTCAGCATGTCACATCAATTTTCCACTCAATACTATTACATTCACTGTTCTCGCATATATGCAACCTCAATAATTCCATATCACGCACTACTATTTCTTTATTTTTATAAAATCAATAACAACAACAACAACCCAGTTGAATCCCACAACAGTAGGGTCTGGGGAGGGTGTGTGTACGCAGACCTTGCCCCTACTCGGAAGTAGGGAGGCTGTTTCCAAGAGACCCCCGGCTCCACCTGCACAAAAATATGGAAGAGAACACAGTATAGCACAGATAAGGCACCAAGTACAAGCAACAAGTACAAACAATAGCAAAAGATTCCCAACAAATACAACACACTACAAAACAACCTCTACAACACCGAGCTTCTATCCAGCTACTCTAATCCTAGTTCTCCAAAGGTTCCTATCTAGGGCCATATCCTCAGTCAGGTCGAGAAGTCCTAAATCCTGTCTTATCACCTCCTCCCAATTCTTCTTAGGTCTACCCCTTCCCCTACTTCCCCCAATAACTGTAATCCTTTCGCATCTCCGTACAGGGGCGTCAGCATCCCGCCGTCTCACATGGCCAAGCCACCTCAACCTCGCTTCCCGCAACTTGTCTTCCACCGGTGCCATACCTACTTGACGTCGGATAA